GATAATGCTTTCCTGGATCTTCATAGCTTTTTGCTCTTGTTTTACTTTTCAATTTGTTCATTACTACTTACTTCGTATAATTTTTGTTTTCTATTTTTTATTTCATTTTTTGTATAATTTGTGAAAAGTATGTCATTATTCATTTTGATGATACATAGTATGTAGCATCTTTCATTGATAATAGAATGACAAACAATGTCATAGTAATTTCAATATTAATACCATTATCTTTATTTTATTTATTGGGAGAACAATGTCTTTATTTTGTTAGATTTTACTGCACTATTTTGAGCAGTCAAATTAAATTACATTTTCAAAGTGTTACATTGTTTATTATAGTGAAATGAAATGACAGAGACACATCTTGACATTGACAATAATGTGATTATGTAGTATATTTTAATATTATTTGACAATGTAAAACTAATGTCACATTTTTAAACTACATTGTCATTATAAGAAACCAAAAACCGTCGCCATTGTTAAAAAATATTGATAATATAAATATCAATGCTATAAATTAATAGTCACAATGTCAATCCAAATCTACAATGTCACAAATGTCAAATAATCATAACAGCAATGTCAATTATGTAAATAATGACATTATAATAATGACAATGTCAATGTCATTATCTAAATGTAGAAAAATGTTACAATGTCAATGTCAATGTTACAAATAATGATATTGTAATTAATAATGACAACGTCAATGCTAAAGTCAATGAATTTCATGACAATGTCATTGCTATATTACTATCTAAAAAAATTCATATTAATTAATATTACAATGAGAATGGTAATGTAATATAAAGTCTTTGTTTAAAAACATCACAATGTCATAAAAATACGAGAATATCAAAAAATGACAATGTCAATGTCATTATTTGACATTGACATTGTTTAAATTTTAATGCAAAACACATTATTGACAATATATTATAATGTCAAGAAAAATGTCACAATGTCAAATAATGACAATGTCAATGTTAACACTACAAAATTGATATTGTAATAATGAAAATGTCAATGTTATCGTGCAAATGTCAATGTTATAAAAATGTCATCAAGTCGGGAAAATGTCACAATGTTAAGCAATGACAATGTCACTGTCACTGTCAATTCTATAAAATGACATTGTAATAATGGTAATGTGACTGTGTCAATTTTATAACAAAGTCACAACATCAGAATAATTTCACAATGTCATATAATGACAATGACAATGTCAATGCTATAAAAACGACATTGACATTATAAAAACTTACAATGTCAATACCAATGTGAATGATTGTCGTGACAATGCCAATGCTATAAAAACATTATAGCAATGACGACATTCTTATAAACAATGGCATAAGTCCATAACATTGATAAAAGAATGTTTCAACGTAAAAATAATACTCCATACAGAGTAATAAAATATATGGTGCTCTCTGTCCGAACAGTAGGAGCTTTTGACTCATCAGCTAAGTGAATAGATGCAGACACCTTAAAGCTTCCACTCATACTTGTAATGTTGCACCAGTCCAACTCCAAAATCTTGCTTGAACTGTCAAACCACCATTGTGGTGCTACCCTTCCCCGGACCCTTGCTTTGCGGGGACACCAATGTACACTAGGATGCCCCTTATGCAAGTAAAAAGCTACGAAACTGAGTAAGCAAAAGAAGGTGAATCAGGCTAGCAAACAGAGCTACTACTCAATCATGGAGTGCTAAAACACATCAGAAAATGAGAAAATGGTAGAGTAATAAAGATGAAAGAGACCTGCCCAAAAGGGATGAACACCAGTACACCCCAAAGAAGAATGTATATAGTAAAATCAATATAGAAGACCATAAAAGCCATACCATTAAGTACAAGTTTAATAATACTCCGTATGTTTCAATGTTTCATATTATCAATTGTCTTCAGCATAGCTGTTTCTTTGAAAAATTAAAAGGAATTTTCAGGTTTGAAATCACGGTGCATCACTCCCTGCATATGGCACATATGCAATGTAACATCACAAACATCTATTATTAGATAACTCTCTGTAAAGTTGCTAAGGCATCCCACATTGTACAAGTAATAAATACATAAGAATACAACATAGGATTATGATTCTAGTCCTCTTATCTGGACAACATAACGAATTAAGGGAAGAAAAGAAAAGAAAGAAATTGTACTCGGATTGCTGGTCTTCATAATCCCAGAAGTTGTTTCCCTCTCGATGTAGTGTCCCCTCGCCATGATCCGGTCAAACAGGTTTCCGCCCTCACATGTACAGCTCTATCACAATATTATAGTTGTACTTCACCTTGCAGTTCCCAGTATTAGGCTCGTAATTAGCGAATAATATGTTTCCAGAGTTGATCATCAATTTCCCGTCCTGTTCCATTCGATTCTCGCCCTGCCAGTACGAGTACGTCAAACTCACCTGCTTCTCTAAAACCCTAACCGAGTTCATAAACCGAAATCGCACATCCTTTTCCGGAATACTTTATTACGAAGACAGA